TCACCAGGTTGTTAGTAACATGAGTTGGTCCGCTCAATTGTACTATACAGTGAGGTTAGATAGAGTAGTAACCCATGTAACTCCGATGAGGATAGCCTGTTTTGTGTCACAAGTTGGTCCAACCAACGCAACTCCTCACAGTCTTCAGCTAGTTCAAAAACTCGACTGACTCTGGCAGTTAGTAACATGAGTTGGTCCGTCCAACTCTGCTCCTCACAGTCTTCAGCGAGTTTAGCTAGTTTAGAAACTCCGCGACAAGGTTAGCTAGATTAGCCCAGTTTACTTCAGGATAATTCGGTTAGTAACCTCAGTTTGTCCGATGAACTGTGCTAAAATATTTAAACACGACCATTGATGTTGAAGAAAACCTTCAGTGGCATTAGCTGGCTCAGAAACAAGACTCAATCCAGCGAGGCTAGGATCTAGAGTAGTAATCTGAGTCACTACGACAATGATTGTATCTCAAAACCAATGCTATGTTGTAACAGCAGGTAATCAATGAAACATATTAGAAAAACTGGTAGAAAGATGGTAATCTACAAGATGATTTATTCAACGTCATATATATAAACATTTTTGGTTACAAGCTAGCACTCAGATTGTTATATTTTTGTTAGATTATTGTAGTGTTGGATACACAAAATTTGACTAGTCCTCTACTTTATAGCGTTATCTCATGAAGTAATGATCATAAATAAACCAGACCTACTTATTACCAACTAAGCAACTCATTCATCCCTAGTTTGCGATTTTGTTTTGTGGGTGTGCAAGTTACCTATCTTTAAACAAGAGAGAGAGAGATCATTGTTTCCACCAATAATATTTTTATTTTAAGCGCCTCTCATTTTTCTTCGTTAGTTTATTGTTTCCACAGACTGAGATAAAAGGATTTTTTGTTGATTTTTAATTTGTACATCAGTATTATGTACAGATAAGAGCACAAACTCTTTCACTTAGTTTTAATACGGAATAAAATGATAGTATATAGGTAAAAACCTAAACTTCATATAAATAATTAAACGAATCAACGGTTAAAATAGCTGTTGTATGAATATAGTTGAAATTTAACAATAAAACAGACAAAATATTTCACGGATGCACTATCACTGATCAAAATATCAATACTCAACAATATAGTGTTACTGAAGAATAAGTATACAACAAACAGAGATATTACAGGATATAAAAGAATTGTCTAGGCGAGGAAATTACAAAATCTAGAAGACAATGTGGAAAACTCGCCAGAAAAAAAAAGATTATTGGTGAATATGAAAATAACATTTCGGGCAACAGCCCATATAAGGTTTTCAATGAGAAGAAAACTGCTTTTAGAAGGGGATAAAGCGTGGCTCGAGAACATATTACTTAGCTAAAATACAGCAAGATATGAGAAGTAACACAGAAATATAATTAGTTGGATAAAGTAAGAATAAACTTTTAAAATCGTGAAAAAATACAGTAGCTTATAGTATTTACATATTAAACTATAACTGAATAAATAAATAGTATTGTCCAGCGAGATACAACAATGAAAGGTATGACCATTGGATATGAAATCATGAAAAAAGTAGCAGAAAAATTGACATGCGACTTAAACTAAAATAAAGAAGATATAAGTGAAACATATTTGGTTAAGAAAATGGCTTGATATAACAAACTATCTTAAATGGTTAAGCTTGTGAATAAGAAAAAGAAAACGCGTTCATTTAACAAAATTGTTAAGCAAAACGAACGTTATGAGACAGTATACATCGGGTATAAGGGAAGTGGAAAAGTTAAGAAATGAGAACGCATAGAAAATACCTGGAGAAACGTTCGATTTATAAATTAGGCGCTATTAATCATTTTGGTATAAATGAAAAATCTCCATTTTCTTTAACGTATTCCACTTCCCTTATACCCGATTTGTACTTTATCATAATGATGTATGTTGTCCTGATGAGTCCGGGCATTGACGAAAGGTCTAGTCGGTAATGAATATTGCAGATGTAGTGTGGCTGTCAGATAATAACATATAATCCTTTGCTTTCACTCATGGGTTCGTAAATTATTCTAATTTACTTTCTTTTTATTTATTCTAACTTTACCCAAATAATTATATTTGTGTTCCTTCTGACACATTTCTTAGCTTTATTTTAGTTTAATAGTATGTTTTCGATCTTTTGAGCCACGAGTATTATATTTTTCTTATACCCCTATCTATATTAAAAACTGTTGGCTTGTTACTGCAAATCAGATAAATGGTTATTTTCATATTCATCAATAAACATAATTTAACGATTTGTTTGTTCTACTGAAAACGGTATTATCAGCAAAACAGTGGTTCAGCTGCCAAACATCAGGATTGCGTGATGTAGCTTTAGAAAAATACAACATGGAGGAGAAGTTAGAGAAAAGACTTTATTTATGATCATGTTTTCACGAAACCTGAACAGGACTAATTCAAATCTGATTCAAACGAGTAACATGATGAGAAAAAAAGAAAAAAGATTACAATTTTTCGCCGAGACCCGGGATCTTCAAACTAACTCTCTCCCAACTGAGTTGTCTCGGCTAGCTACTTGTGTGCTTTTATTATATTCTAGTCTTTTAAACCTCTATTTTTGAATATAATTTATTAATACGTATAATTATATCCCTATCATTTGATAGCACGAGGTAAATATAACGAGAGTTTATGTCGAGGATGTGGTATTTCAATACCTTTTTTTGCGGACAAACTGTAATATTATTATTATTATTAGAAGTAGTACGTAGACCTAAGCCTAACTGGTTAACTTGTTCTCTTTCACGTTTAACTTTATATTACATAGCCACAAACATATACATTTCAGTATTGTGTAGAAAACTGCTATAGGAACTACGTATATATTAATTCGACCAGAGGGGGAAAAAATAACAGAACAAAGTAGAAATAAAATATGGATCTATTAATATTAAACATGTAGTGGATGATTATAGATAAAAGTTGGGAAAGTTATAATTTATTCTCTTAATAACGTTTAATTATCACATTTTTTACGTTATATTTCATGAATGACTTTGTGAGTTTATATATTGTTTTTGGTAGTTATTTTAAGCGTAAATGCACAGATAATATAGTACTTTCACGTTTCCCGCTCTTCAACTGAACGTAAAGAATAAAATTCGGATATTAAATTTTACTAATATCATTAAACTAGTAAAGTCTAAGAAATACTTGGCCTTTTCTACTTAAAAACCATATATTCTTTTGATATACCTTGCGTGATTTGTTGCTTAGACATGCCATCTCTCGTTGGTTATCTACTGTTAGTCTCATGTTTCTAAACTATTTTAATCTAAACTTTGTAATCATCACGCAACTTAAACTTAAATCATCATTGAAAGCAGTACGTACATGAGCATTGAATGTCAAGTCATTAGCGAGATTTACTGAAGGACTTAATGTTCAATCTTATTATGGGTCTACTAAACTTTAAATTTGACTTAGGCTGTGAAAACACTTTACCATGAATGCTCAACATGCATTGTGTAAACAGTGTTTGTGCCGCATTGTGTCGTCATGCCTAATTTGATAATGAACTACAAACCGAAATTTAAGCATTTTTATGCAGTTGTTAGACCCGGCATTTAGTTTTAAACATTGATTTTCTTGACCTAATTGGTAACTAATTTTTACGCATTATTACCATACCATATTATTACCATATTATGTTACGAAAGATCGTTTATGAAATTATTTTAGTGATTACAATCAGCAAAGATAGTTTAGTTACTATGGTAGTTATTAGTTGTTGTTTTTTTTTTAAATAACTCCCAAGTATAGGCTTTGTTAAGATTTACCAAAAATAAAACCGAGGAAGGGTGTTTATAATAACTTTGATGTATTATTTTTCTTTAGGTTTGCCATAGCTGATACAGCCTACAGATTCATGCGAGAGGAATGTCGCGATCAGTGTATTTTGATATCTGGTGAGAGTGGAGCAGGAAAAACAGAAGCATCAAAAAAAATTCTCCAATACTTGGCTGCCGCTAGTTATCATGCTACACAGGTGGAACACGTTAAAGACAAGCTTTTAACATCGAATCCAGTTTTAGAGGTAGGAAGCAATCGATCATTTTAATCAATATTATTTTGTAACAGTAAAAACGCTACTATGAACAAAATAATGTGATAAATTAGAAAAACAAATTGATGTTAGAGGACGAAATATTTTGTAATTCAATAGCTTTATTGAAAAGGAAACACATTATTATAATGTGTGATTAGTTTTATTAATGATTGCGTGGTTTATTTAGGGCTATTGTTTTTGTTTTTTAACTGTGAATTTCATCTTTTGTTAATAAACGTTCATTTTCATTTACAAAATTTGTAGCTGATTTAAATGAAGTTAAAACAGTTTGGCCTACCATTTTTTTATTTATAAAAATTACCTTCCCACATTAAGTTAAATGTGAAAGCTTTTTTATTGTATGCACACTTTTAAATTATTTTATTTTATTCATATCAAATATCAAAAACAATTTTCTGATATGCAGATTATAAGTCTACGTTATAAAAGGCAGTTGTGCTATTAAAAAAAATACGGTTCACTGTTGTGAAATAACACCTATATTTGATATTGATGAACGTAAAAAATCGATTATGTTCGCCATCATTTAAATTTTAATAAAATAAAAAAGGTATGACCAACTCTGGCCTAGTGGTTAGTGTGCTCGGACTATGAATCCGAAGGTTCATGGTTTGCATCCTAAACATGCTCTGTACTTCGGAGCAGTGGGTATACAATAAGAGTGATGGCTATAAATCCTCGTATTTAGTCAGACAAGAGTAACCCAAAAGTTGGTGGTGGGTGGTGTTGACTTGCTACCCTTCCTCTACACGATCAATTACAAAATAGAAACATCTATATCAGATAGCCCTATTTGAAGCTTTGTGTAAAAATTCTGAAACAGAAATTTACATAAGTGTGTATATGTAGCAGATAGTTAACATACATATTTTCTTTTATCATAGGCGTTTGGTAATGCAAAAACAAATCGTAATGACAATTCCAGTAGGTTTGGCAAATACATGGATATTGAGTTCAATTTCATGGTAAGCAAGTAAAAGGAAATTTATAACTTTATGATTATTATAAGTACTAACAAATGCTTAATATTTTATTGTGTGTTGTTTCTTTTTTAATTTGTAAATTAACTTTAAAAACATTAATACTTATTTTATGTGTTATAAAGTAGCCATGACATGAACTGTATTCATGATTTTAGTTATTATTTGAAATTATATAAAATTTCTATAATTCATCCCTTTCATGTTTTATGTATATGTGGGATGGAATTCTTCTATAGTAGGTGACTATGACTTATTGGCGAGAAATTCGAACAATAAACGACAAGCACACAATCCATTTGTTTTAAAACAATATATTCAAAACACGTCAAACATATGTACAAAACTTCATTACACTATAGAATATCACAGTTGTATCTAAAACTCCAAATAATTCTCTTTTCTTGTCAAAAGTCCACCCATTCAGTTACTTTAGAATCCAATTGACAAGACGAACTATTTTTTGTTCTACTTTGTTTATTACTGTACAATCTGCGATAGATCCACTTACAACCACAGGTGCATTTCTGAGTTTAAATAATTGTCTCCTTTTCTTCAAAGTCCACACAGACGAGTTCATTTACTTTAGAACACCCTTTCACAAAACAAATTATTTCCTTATCTGTGTCAAATATCAACGGTTAAGGCTAATCATCCACACGCCGGCTAACTTTACATTTTCTAACATGTTTCTGACTGAACTTTTCTTACTTTTTCATTACTTTCCTTGTGCTCGCCTATTATATTATCAATTGTTCACTGAGGCCCGAGATTTTGTACAATCTATGCGACGCGATGATTTAACATTACTCAGTAAAGGTAACGAGAAAAACACCGAATATTAGAGTAACTTGGCGTCAATAATACTAGAACAGTTGAATCACACACACAACGTACGACTCTTACCGAGTTACGCAACCAAATTTGTCATAACTATCGCCTTTAAAATAATTACTTTAACCTTCTCTCTTGTTATGAAAAGTAAATTAAATCACCAAATAAACTAAATAATAACTCTTAAACTAAACAGTCTTGTATATACAATAATCCCAATCATTGATAGTTCAATTTGTAATCCTAGAAGAAAATCAGTATATGTGGATTTCTTTTATTTAATGTAATTAAGATGATGCTTACTTACAATTTAACTTGATTGTTGTGATAGTTATAACTATTGATTAAGTAGCATGTTATAAATTTCATGCCAAACTGTTTAGTGATATTTCTACCGGATAATTAAACCACCTCACTTTCTCGAAATATATACATCATTGACTGATATAGTAATATTTAATGTAATTAAGATGATGCTTACTTACAATTTAACTTTATTATTGTGATAGTTATAACTATTGATTAACATAGCTTATTATAAACTTCATGCCAAGCTGTTTAGTGATATTTCTACAGGTTAATTAAACCATATCACTTTCTAGAAACATATATATTATTGACTGATATATTAATATTTATGTAACAAGTACTGTAACTTGAATATAACTTGCATGTTTAACTTAAATTCCACAAGGGGGCACCACTTGGAGGTCATATCTTAAACTACCTTCTTGAGAAATCTCGAGTGGTTCATCAGAATCCTGGTGAGAGGAACTTTCATATATTTTACCAGTTGGTGATGGGTGCAGATGACAACTTGCTGCAGAAACTGTTTCTGCAACGAGAACCAGAGTTGTACTACTACATGAACCAGGTTGAACATCTGCTGTTTTGTTTTTTAGTATTGTTGCTAATGGTGTTACAAGTCACATGTGGAGGCAGACTTAAAGCTGTGATAAAAATACCACAAACACGTACCAATGTACATTGATAGTATTTAGAATTAAACATTCTTTACAAACATCCCATACTTTCCTCTTGTATATGTATACAACCTCAAAACTACCACAGTCAAGCTTATTGTCAAAATGTATATGAAGCTAGTTTAAAGTACCAAATTTCCGAATTGTAATCAAGTCTGCTGGACATAAGTTTTACTTTTATTTAATTACAGACTTTTAACTTCTTAGTTGGTACTACTATATTTTGAGTGTTTGTAATAATTGATTCTCAGCAGAATGATTCAACTACTGTGTCAGTTTTAAAGAATCGCTAACAATATTAGTTTAAGTTGATAGTGAAAAGTTATCAACAGGGATATGGTACTTCTGCCATCTGGTGACTATAAGTTGTATAATATCAGTATTTATCATCACATTGTAACAAAAAAGGTTTGAAAATGTTTTAATGTGTTATTACGATTGATAATGCTGTCACTCTTTTATAGACTAATAGAGCAATAAATAATTTTATGTACAAATAAAAAAGAACTGATTGTACTAACATACTGCCTATATAATACTTGTTTTATCCAAAATTTAGATTCTTAACTGTTCTGGTTAATTACTGCCTTTATTTTTGAACAAGGCATCTTACCTGTCTCTGAAGAAAGTAACTGTTGATTAAATTGGATAAAATAAAGGAATATGTATTCTGATAAGGATTAAGAATTTCTAGTTTTGAAGATTTTACTTTAAATATAATTCTGAATAATCAACATTATATGAAAACAATTTTTCTACTTGTTTTATAATAATTTAAGAAACAGGTTATGTAAGAATTTCTTATCAGAGAATAGTGATATTTGTATCTAGTGATATTTTATACAGACAAATAAACCCAAGTGATATCTCTTCCAGATACAAAAACTGTCTAACCTTCTAGCAATATCTCTCCTAGATTAGTAAACATCATAGTAATGTCTTATCTCAGATAACAGGAATGTATTACATAACCTCTAGTTATATATATGTTTAGAATAGTAAGATTGTATTGTAACCTTCTAGAGATGTTTTAATTGTAGGGTAACAGCACCACAGTGTATGGGGTAGATGATGCAGCACAGTTCCAGGTGGTAAAAAGTGCCTTGTCAGTTATTGACTTTACTGAAGAAGAGGAAGAGGTAAGTTTCTGTAGTTAAGGTTGAATTTAAAATATTATTCTTCAACATTATACGTTAAAAAAAAGAGAGAGAATTATATCACATATACTGAACTCAATTTTTATAGACTCCAAGGAGGAAACTCTCAGACTTTTAATACATTGGGGTAGAATTGAACTGGATAGAATTAATTGCATTTGAAAATGATAAATATACAGTACTACTATTTGAAATTTGTTTAAATAATTGTAATTTGGCTGAATTTTTTTACCCCATTTTCTCTCTTAAATGACTATAATACTTCTGTATATCTATTAAAATAAAATGGCAAAGTTTCAATACCAAGAGTCTAATTATTGTCCACAAAAGACACATTTGAAAGATCACCTGACCACTAAACTTTAGTGTTTAGAATAACACAATAACACCTCACTTTAATCATTAAAATGACATTATTCTACACTGTCAAACATGTGATCTTAATCTTTTGAGAAATGTACTGTTCAGAGAAAATGAATAACCTTATTACATAATAGCAACTCTAAAATCATTAACAAAATATGTTCAAAATTATTGTTGATTCAAGTTATTTAAGAGATTGTAAAATGATAAAATTAATTGTACCCTAACAGCTGTTTCAAAATATTAACAAAAAGTGTTATGGTAATCTTGTGATTTTTCATAGGCTTTGTTTATGATCACTGCTTCTATTCTGCACGTTGGTAACATTGGTTTTAGTGAAGAAAATGGCCAAGCTATAATAGCCCAGGAGAAGTCTGTGTCTTCTATATGCAAGGTTAGTTTCAGTACTGATATAAACAGTCATGTAATATTAATCATGTTCACATATATTTTAAATTTCAAATCTATTTGTGCAAGTGAACTTCAAGTTAAAAATCAAATAAGATTTTTTTTCGTAACCCAATCAGCTCAGTAAAATTTAAACTGAGTGAAAGGCCTTATGGACAGCTACACACACACACACAGTAGCTAAAATGTGTGCTATTAAGCATTCATTCTGCTGGAAACCCATATCAGTAGGCAGAGAGTGATGTGGTTTAATATCTAATCAGTTACTGTAACTTAACCATACAGCCCTTGCCTACTACTAGTGCAATGTCTCTCAACCATTGGTCCATCACAACCACCTTTTGGGAAATGGGATTTCATGAAAACAAACAAAAACTGACAGAATATTCATATGTAGATCATAATGTTTTTTTTTGTACTTGCATTTTAGTGGTCTGTGACAGTTTATGGAGGTAGCGAGCCAGTCCCTGATATTAAATAACTTAAACACTGTGCTAGTGTATCATACTATGACAACTTCAGCATTGTATTGTAACCTTAAAAAAAATCGTAAAACTGACAAGAAAAAGAATGCTGTTGGGTCATCATTGATTGTTGATAACTGTGTTTTGGTTTCATAATTAAACCTACTGCTAAAGCTGAATATTTTTGGATAAACTGTCTACAATGAGCAAGTGGCCTTTCTTTATTTTAGTTGCTAGGATGTCCAGAAGATGTTCTGAAAGATGCTCTTACACATCGTACCATTGAAGCTCGTGGAGATACTGTGAGTATAAATCTAGACATTTGACACATATAACAATTAATAAGAATATTATTTTCTTTTTGAAGCCCCCTCCCCCACTATTGTGTGGGTATGTGCTAAACAAGAAAACAAAATCTAATTTTTGCTACATACAACTTTTAAGTGCATATAATATGTTTATTAGTTCTGTAAAATGAAATATCATGAACCACAATAGTGATTCATAATAAGGATTGCAAGGAATTGTACAAAACTATAATAGAATGTTCATGCACAAAACACCTTAAACAGTAAAAATTCAGTTCAAACAACACTTTAAAACCTTTATTGACTGCTAAGGCTGTACACATATAAAAATGCACAAAAAAGGATACATGTTAGATGTACAAGGAAAAGAAGATCCACTCAAAACAACCCATTTCTAATTCTTCTATTTCTTCAGCTTGATATATTGTACTTAAACCTTTTGTAGAATACAAAATAAGGTACTGCAAAGGGCGTAGGGTCATTGAAAAGGCGATTTGCTTTTTCTATATTTTAAATAAGCTAAAAAACATTATAATTCCAGTATGAATGATGTTATCATTATCTCTTGAAGTTAGCTTTCTTACAAATATCTAGTGCTACTTTAAACAGCTTAAGTACAGGGTGAATCAGGTATTACCAGCCAATAATAGATGAACATTAGATGACTGTAATATGTAGATACTCAATGCTTTGTACACTATCCAATTGGTGTCTTTAGGGATCCAACCCCTATATTATGTATGAAGTGAAGGAGTAAAAAAAAAAAATACACATAATATTAAATAATATTACACACATTCGTAGAATAATTACTTTAACTCTTTCAGCACATACTCGGTCTGGGACCGACCTTGTAACCGTTTTGTGCTTGTTATAGTTTTCATGCTATAACTTTTAAATTAGTAAGTGAATGTTAACAAAATTTTGCAGAGTATCGGCAAACATTACAATGCTTGCATATGCAAAATATCAAATTTTTTTATTAAGTCTTAAGGCTTGTGAAACAATGTTTTTCTCATGCCTTTTTTCTTTTCACATGTTGCCTATTTATCATGCAAAGTAATTTTCATTTTAAGATTAA